ATTGTAATGGCATAAAAAAGCTAGAACATCGCTGGAATAAGTGCATTGCTAATAAAGGAGACTACATTGAAAAATAAAAAAAGTTTTAACATTATTTTGTTTGTTGTTCTATTTGAGGCTGCGAACTTTCCGAACAGCCCTCGTATTTGTTACAGTTTAAGCCCTGTATTTACATAAATTTAATAAAAAACATTACATTTTTGCAGTTAGCAGTTACTTTTACATAATTTCAGATACATTTTCTGTTAATTGTGTTACTGCTTAAACCTTTTTGCAATCTTTCACAGTTGCAAAAAACTGAAGGTGATGCAGTTTTTTTTACCACCACTGTATGTATAAAGAATTTATTTTTCAACCAATTTTTTAGCATAATATATTTATCAGAAATTTGAATTGTGCATTCCAGAATTTTTTTTCACATATTTTAAAGTGAAATAGCTTTGATAACTTTAGATATCCACCTCCTTTTGTAATTTATCCTATGTAATGGCTAATGAGGGACTTGCTTCAAAATGTATTTTACAATATAATATATATATATATCTGTATATTTTTTTTTTTTTATTGTATATGAGAAGAAAAAATGAGTTTATTTTCCTTTTGATCTACATGTCTACTTCTCTTGANCTGTGAGTTATATATATATATATATATTTTTTTTTTTATTGTATATGAGAAGAAAAAATGAGTTTATTTTCCTTTTGATCTACATGTCTACTTCTCTTGATATAATAAGTCTGATATGCTGTTCTGTACTTGTTATTAGCATTTACAACTTTTAGTTATAAAACTCATCTCTACCCTCAAAATTAAAATTTTTGCCAATTAATGATATAAAAATTAGTTTTAAATAAAATCTCATAACAGTTGGCACCACACACAAGTTTAACTTTTTTGCTGGAAAAGTTATGCGACTTATTGCTGGATTTTTTAAAGAAGTTAATGAAGATTTTAATATAAAACAGTGTTCTTCCTAGAAAATTTTACTAACAGGATGAAATGAAAAAATAATCGGGTGTACCAAAAATAGTTCACAATATAATAGAGTCCCAGAAACTTGATTCCATTCATTACTTTGACAATATGTAAAACTCATCAGGTTGTTAAAAAAAAAAAAGTACAGTACATGTAATCTAACTTTTAACAACACTCCTCTATAACAACACTAGGATCAAATAAGTTAGTTTTTCATTGGCAACACTTAATAGCATCATTTTCATATAATAAAGAATATAATTCTTTTTTCAAGGTGCCACTGCAAAACACCACGTCGTGAATGTCACTAACTTGAAAGTAGCCACTGAATAGCCACTATTTTTTTTATTAAAATTGAACTACAAATAGAAATAATCACTATTAGTAAATAGTTAATATGTATATGAATTTGTACATATAATACCTTAAAATTTTGGTATTTAAACTAGCATCATCACTATACTGTAAAACTTTTCATTTTCTCAGTCTACATTAAGTCAAGTTAGCAGGATTCTATAGTATTAAAAAATTATCTGTTATTTATATTATAACCCTTCTTTCTCTACTAACAAATACATAAAAGTTTTTAATCTGTGTATCTAATTTATCTGTTTTTAATATTCTGTACATTTTGGCTCCATATAATATAATATACATCTCACTATGATTACATATATTCAAATTTCCAATATTTTTTGTTTTGCATTCTACTAGATTCCATTTGGCTTCTTAAACTGTCTTTCCTTCTTTTTTTCCTGTTTTCTATTGTTCAATTATCTCATCCAGATTTGGATAGAACAAATTTTGGCTCAGGAATATATAAAAAATATTGACCCATATTTATATAATGTGTGTGTGCATGCATGTGTGGTAGGATCAAAAAATTTGGGGACTTGCCATATAGTTCCTTGCCTTCAATAGTTTAAAACACCGATGCACAAACACCTTCAAACTAATCCCCTTGTGGAAGCACATTAGTACGATATCTGGCAAGAAACTGTGCAGGCATGTTGTCATGGAGAAGGTACTATTGTGCACTTCACCACATTTCTCAAACAGACGCTAAATATCTGGATGTAAATATCCAAATATAAGACTGTCAGAGCTTTACAACTTATAAAACCATAATTTTGATATATTATGCTCATGCTCATGACAGTATATGTTGTTGGTGTGATATCTAGATCTTTCAGAACTTGCTTGAAAGAGCATAAATACAATATTCAAAAGTCTCTACCTAATATGGCACTTTTGGCTTATGCCCTTGTGGATTTAATTAATGTAGTGTACTGTAGGGTCATGAAGATCATCAGAAATAAACAGCTATGACATATAGAAGCCTTAGAAATATGTAAATCAATGCATAAAGGCTGGTCTGCTGTTAGGATCTTAGCATGTAAAGATCTCTAAATGTAAAACTTGCTGTTTAATATCTAACAAATAATTGGTTTAACAGTTTGGACTGGATACTGGTCACATCCTGCCTGTCTAACTGACCTGAACAAAAGACATGCCCCCTGAATCTTGCACCCATACGTAAGTGTAACCTGATCAGTTCCAGATTGGGCCCCTGCTTATTAGGTTTTCACACATGCAAAAACAACCGACCCACACATCTGTTAACTATAAAGACTATGACACACTTTCGACAGCTTGAAGGGCACAGTTTGAAATTGACACCTAGTAACTTTCAAGAATGTTTTTTTTTATAGTTATTTGTTAATTTTGTTCTTCATCACCCATGTATTTTCTANAGAACCCATATAACGAGCGATTATTGCCGAATTAGAATTTTTAACCACATTTTAAAATTTATTTAATTTAAAATATATGCTCTCCACCTCAAATTAGTAGTGCCTTGCCTCTGTAAATTATGCTATTCCTGTTAGCAGTAAAGTCATGCCGGTCATCTATCTAACATCGTTCTCGAGATTAAGGAAGGACAGACAGACAGACAGACAGACGAATTGATAGGTCTACAATTTTTTGAAATTGTAGCCCAACAAGCAAAATTTTATATTTTTGGTATTTTTTATATTATTTTATTTCATCTTTCTTTAAATTTGAAATGTTTGACATTCTCTAATTCTTCTATCCTTTTTTCTTGAATTCTTAACTGTTGAATTTGTAACATTTGATAGAACTCTTCTTAACCTGAAGATGGTCTTTTAATATGACTGAAAATGTTTGTTATTAAATATTGTTTTGCTGCTTAAAAGGTTGATTGTATTTGTTATTTTATTGCACAAAATCAACATGATTCATGTGCATATAATAATTATTTTCCAGGCATATACTGTATTTCTATCAGGTGTCTTCAGTGTATCACATTCACATATCTAAACATATTTGTATGTATGGAACACTAGCATGCCAGATTATTACCAGACAACTGTATTATTGGATACTTTTCACAAGGTATTAGATTAACAAATGCCAGATTAAAAATAAAATACAGTAGAAGTTCATTAAATACTAAGAAAATTTAAAACTTATATATATATATACGTAGTATGATCCAGAAGTTCAGGGACTTGGCTTAAAATTCCTTACCTTAAAAAGTTTATATTACCGATGCACAACCACCTTCAAAGTAATTACCTTGGGCAACGATACAGTTTTGTCAGCGCTCGTATAACTTCTGGAAGCCATTTTTTGAAACCTCCCGTAAGGCCTCCTGCGATGCTGCTCTCACCTCATCTGATGACACAAAACGGCATCCCTGCAAATGCTTTTTCATTGATGGAAACAAATAAAAATCACACAGAGCTAAGACTGGTGAATAGGCGGGGTGTGAAAGCACATTAATTTGAGATTTGGCGAGAAACTGTGTGACCATTTGGGACCGATGTGCAGGTGTGTTGTCATGCAGAAGGTACAAGGTACCAGTCTCCACTTCGCCAGATCTGCAGCCGTTTACAACGAATGGATTCCCTCAAACGACGTAAAATGTCTAGATAATTGAGAGACCAACTCAACATTTTCCTCGTTCTGTGAAGTCGAAGGTCGGCCAGAGCGTTCATCATCTGCAATGGATTCTCGGCCCTCTTTAAACCTTTGATTTCACCATGATAGAATCACCGTACACCTTTCTTAGCAATTTTAAAGTCTTCATAGATATTTTACCTAAACGCTGACAAAATTTAATGTTGCAGCACTGTTCTTGAAACTCCATTTTTATTACGTCGCCAAACAAAGGTAACTATCTCCGAAAAAAAACAACAGCACTTGCGGTTTAATCACGTGGCATGGGCGAAATCAACCTGAACACGTAGGGGTAGTTTGATAGAATCCATTTCATACACTGTAACTTTAAATACATGCTTTTGTTGTCATACATTACTGCAGTCCCCGAACTTTTGGATCGTACCACGTATATATATATTCAGAGATGGAGCCAGAAATTTCTAAATGAGTGTAACCCTCAAGACTGATGGCCTGAGTAGATTTAGTATAGTTTTTGAGGTTGGTAGGCTATTGTAAAAATGCAATAGCTCACAATCACTAGCAACTCATTATTGTAAAATTGCCATTATTGTAAGATAGCTCCTTGCATGTCACATGCAAGCTGTATGCAAACCAGTGATAATTTACACATGACAATGCACAATAAAAATGAAAAAAACTGAACAAGTATTAAATTTTATTTTTCTATACCTCATGGCTATCATGTAGCTTAGTATTTGACTCTGTTTTTCTGTTTTACCCATCGGTCAACTCCTTGTAACATTTTTTTAATGCCATTTACTGAAAGTAAATGGTGTAAAAAACCTGAGTGAGACGACAGTGGTGACCAGCAAACAGTTGAAGGGAAGAAGAGCATTAGTGTGGAAAATGCCACTCTTGTCATCCCATATAGCTATAGCCATGTACTGTACATTACATAAATAGTGTTATTCTTTATGTACTAGTTTTAGACAAAAAATGAATAAAATGCTAATTATACTATAAAAATTTCTCTAATATTCAAAAGATTAATTGCTTATATCTAACTGGCAAAATTAATTAAGTTTTTGTATTTTTAGTCATGAAAGTAAGACAACACAGTGGACACATCCAAGAACAGGAAAAAAGAAGAGAGTAGCAGGAGGTAAATTTGAATAAGAAATTAATATTGTTTTTAAACATATAAAATAACAAAGGTATGTTGTTGTTTTTATATGTTTAAAATATTTATAACATCCTTAGGTTACAAATACAGCCCTGTTATAAAAATTTTTTATAATTTATTTATTATAAAATGACTGACTAAAGAAAATATTAAAAACTATAATATCAATGAGAATGTCTAATTTTTAATATCCATTGCTGCAAAATTAATTGTTATATCTTACCATCATGAGATGACAAACACTAATAAGATTAATAAAATATAATTTTTAATCATTTTGACATATTAAAACTAAAAATATTATGAATAAATTAAACCAAAAAATGTCGATTGTGAGTACTTTTGATAATATTAAATAACTCTATAAAATATTAAAATTAAAGTAACAGGGAGATTACTCACAATATCATGCTCTGCTTTACAGTACTGGTATACACCAATGATATTAAATTAATGAATTCTGATCCCATCTTTGCTACAAAATGATTTTAATTTGTTCACTCATAATTTTAAGAAAGTCACTGTGATTTTTAACATATCTAAAACTACTGCCATGGTTTATACCCTACTTCAAAATACCCTTTGAACATAAATAACTGTCATATCTTACACCAATACAGTTTCTGATCTGGGATTAATTCAGGCTTATAAAACACATCACAAAACTTTAAAATTTTGACAAAATTGTAAAAACTCGCTGTTTTACATTTACTGTCATATCCTGTTCAAGTCTTATATGAGATAACAACTGTTCTGAAGATTTAACAGTTGATCATTTATAATGATAATGTAAGTTCTGAATCATAGACTTAGACTTAGAAAAATGTTATTGGAAAAAAGATGGACTTTCAGAACAACATTGTATATTAATATTACATGTTATATTAATTGTACAGTGTATTAACAAATTTTAAAATTACTGTTTAATTTCTATAAAATTTGTTTTGAATTTTAAATTACACTTCATTGTACACAAATCATATTTATTTAAATTAAAATTTTTACTGCTCTATCCCTATAAAAAGTCTTCTAAATACTACTTATGACTAAAAGGAGAACTTGATAGATTGTTGCTTGATGCTCATTGCATGCATACTGTACTAGATATTATAAATTTTATACAGTTTAAAGAAAAAAATGTTATGCACACAATTAAAATAAAATTTTCTAATATATTAAATTGATAAATCTTAGTGTTGAATTTCAAATATTAGAACATTGCAACTCATTTAATATAAAATATTTTATTAAAAACTTCATATTAATGTTTGATAAAATTAGATCATGTTTAAAAATGGTATAAAGTACATAGTTTGTTTCACGAATCTTGGTCAGGCTGTAAAAATGCACAGTACAGGAACACATCTATTTACTTAGTGAAGGGAACAAATTGTTGACAAATCTTTGACAAGATAACTGTGTATTACCAAAAAGGACTCAAACTTTTAAAATTTCCAAAGCCCCAACCAACTAGTATTTTGCATTGCATGGCCAAGATATATGAAACAATCCATAAAAGTCTAAATGATTCATTTCCCAATTGCAAATTGTACTGTATCTTTACTGCGTTTTTGTTTCTATTATTTTCATATTATTTTGTATATTTGTACTTTTTTGTTGATGTAATAACTATAATATTGTAATATTGTTTCTGCTAATTATATTGAAACAAAAATATTTTTAGAACTTCCATATGGATGGGAGAAAAAGATTACTGAAGATGGACATGTATTTTATGTAGAGTAAGAATTGTGTAAAATATAAATTTTTTCCTTTTTCTTATATTAAATGTTGTGTGTAAATTAAGATTATAGATTTTTAATACAGTAGAGTCCCGAAAACTCGACCTAATGTGGACCGAAGGGTGGCCGAGTTTGTGAAAATGCCAGGTTATCAGGAATGGAGTTAAAAAAGAATAAGTACAAGTGTTTCCTCAGAAAATACTGTACTGTACTTGTATGTATTGTTTGCTTGAGAATAAACTGCCCAAATACCCTTAAACAAAGGAAAAGTATGTACTTTATGAAGGCATAGAGCCTTTACTACATGAAAATGAAAATGAATGAATACACAGTGCACAGTAATTTACCTGATAAGACAGACCTCAGAAAAATACTCTGAGGCATAAAGCTGTCTATAATGAAAATTAACTAGGGGTTTTTTTCGCCTTGCCAGGGTGTGGCCGAGTTATCTGGACTGCTGGGTTATCGAGTGCTGAGTTTTCGGGACTCTACTGTACTAATTTTTCAAATTGTTGTTCTAATCTAATTAATAATACAAATACACTCAATTTTGTTTTTACATGATTTGTTTTGATTTAACACATTTCAATGATTTGTCTTTTTAAAACTCTTCATTTGATTTTAACTCTAAGAAGAAATATTCATACTTCCTTTTCTAGGATGATTCCCATCCTAGAAAACATTGGTGGACTTGACATATCGGGACAGCTGAAAAATCCCAGGAATTTTTCAGCTGCCCAGATTTGATCCTGGATCTCTGAGAGCAGTAGGCTGGCACCAAAACTATCTCAGCAAGTCAGCCATCGATTAAGATTTGGCTGTTTTATTTAATTGTTGCTACACATATTCAGCCTTTCATTCAGACTATCTCGTAATTAAAGCAGTTGAAAAAAATTTAATTCGGAGTTTGATGATTTATTTATATGACTGCATTTCTTTCAATATAGAGTAGTTTTTGTAAGCCATTCGACATTAAAAAGTTATAGTATTTTGGTGTTTAATTGAAGAAAATCAAATAAAAAAATAATTTACAATTTGTGCAAATAATATAAATTTAATAAATTTTGCTGATAAGTTACAATTATTTTTTTTTTATTAATTAAAATTGAAATATTTTGTGTAAGCACATTCTATTATTAATTTTTATTATTACAGTATTATTTTTACTGGTTCTAAGGTCTGGAATCAAGCTTTGATTTTTCCATATGGACAGTGCCTATTACTTTTCCAGCTGTTGTAAATAACAGAGGAAAAGTATGACAATTGGTCAAAGAATGCCCCCCAAGATTTTTACATTCTTGGACTTAGGACAAAAATTCGGAGGGGTTTTTTCTGTATATATGGATGTTAATGTGTGTGGGGGGCATGATTTTGTTCACCCTCTTTAAAGCTTATTAACTCCTGTGTTTTTTGTCAAAATTTTCTGAAAGTTTGCAGGGACGTTTGTGAATTAGGGGGAAGGATGCTATTAAATTTTAGTGATTAAAGGTCAACCGGGTGGGGAGCTAAAGGAGGTTATGTCATATCTCGAGTAGGGTCTAACTTAGTGATGATTTTACTCATTAGCATATACAATTTTTTATAAAACTCATCACTCTCCTCAAAATTAAGTTTTTTGCCATTTTATAATAATTAAAATTTAAAAAGTTTTAAAATAAAATACCATAACAGATGATGCCACATATGTAGTTTTAAATGTTATCAGGAAAGTTAAACAACTTGTTGTTGGATTTTTTTATGTGCATTTCTTGGGAACAGATATACCATGTAAAAACAGAATTGGGTGTACTTTGTAATGTATATTATAAAATTATAACAAAGTTATATTAAAACATAAGTAATATTAACTAAATTATTAATTTTGTAGTCACATAAACAAAAAGACGACATACACCGATCCTCGTCTAGCATTTGCTGTTGAAGAAAAAGAATCTTCGGATGATATTCGCCAGAGATTTGATGCTAGTACAAATGCTCTGCAAATTCTCCATGGACGTGATTTGAGTGGAAAAATTGTCATAGTAACAGGATCTAATTGCGGAATAGGTATTTTGTGCTTTTTAAACTATGTAATGATTATTATTATCTGAGAGATGACAACTACTACATATTTTTCATACTTTCTGCAGAAGTCTTATGTAAATTACACTTATGGATAATTCTCTAAAAACTACAGAACCACTCTTTTATACTCTTGAATAAGTGCACTAATGCAACAAGTGGCAGCAAAATGTGTAGGTGTTAATTAACACTTTGCCTGCATAGAATCACTAGTATGACAAGTCTCAAACCAATCAGTGCATTCATAGCAATCTTGTGGAATGTACAGAGAGTAAGTGCTTCCAGTTTGTGAGTGACGAAGAGTCTGTCTAAAAATTGTTCCTGTGCATGACCCAGTTGCACACTCATATCTAAAAATGATGCACACTCTTCTGATATAACAATTGGGAGCAGTGGAAAAATCCATCCACCCCACTCTCCAACTATAACATATGATCCTGTGCCTATTGATTGCCCTTTTCTCAGATTGGCATCTCTGTTAATTATTATTGTTTAGTAAATTCTGGGTCTAGAGAACATCTGTATACAAGCAGGCAAAACATCCAATTCTAGCATGGTAATAAGATCATTTATTTATTTATTACCTTAATTAAACCAACACTCTGTGAACAATAAACAAAAACTTCTGTTCTCTAAAACCTCTATTAAATAGACAGTATAATGGATTACATGTGTTTTCATAAATATCATTTTAAAACTATCATACTTATCATTTGTACGATGGTTTCTTTGTGTTCATAAATTTTCAAATGAGATTTTCACCATGCTTGCAGGAATTGGGATTAGAGTCCTACTGTAGGTCAGATCTATATTTCTCTTATTTAAATCATTAATTTTTAATTATTAAATTAGATACAGGAGTGTGCTTAATACTTTTTATCATCATATTATGTTAATAATCAATAAAAATAACTGTTTTTAAACCTTTATGGATTACTCAATCCACTTTTATCTAGATTTGTCATAACAGTAGACTTATAATAAGTCGTCTGAATGATCTATTATCTTTTATTTAAAATTGAAATGCATGTTGGACTTTTAGTCTCTCTTTAGTCAGTTTTTACACTTATTTTTCCAACATTTGTTTATCTACATAAACAATTACATTTATTATTTTAATAATAATTATTAACATTCATCATATGATTACTATATAATTAACTTACCTTATAATTAATGATGTTATTTTAAAACTTAAAAAAAAGGTACGAATATACAAGATTTTAAATAAATTCTAATTCCTAAAGTTTATAAAACATCTGTAAGTACACTTAGAATTTTGAACAATAAAATAACTAATAACTTACATTAATAACAAAATTTTGTACATATTTTTGGTTTTGTATAAATTGCATAACATTTTACAAGATTTTAAAATAACATCATTACAAGGAAACATATTGAAATATGTTTCCTTATAATGATGTTATTTATTAATATTAATTATATGGTATAATAATTATATAATTAATCATATAATATTATAAATAATTATTCATTAAAAGTTGTGTTTTCTCCATTAAATTAATTAGTCATTTTGACCATCCCACTTGATGGTCAAAGTGACAAATTATGTACAGTATCTAAGCTTGCTTTTTCCTATAAATAGGAAAAAAAACAAGCTTATTCCTTCAAATAAATTTATATTTCTCCTTTAGTATCGTATTATATATTGTTTCTTGTTTTCAACTTTGATTCAGTTACTTTAACAATTAAAAATCCTAACCATAAAACATATTCAACAAAATAATTTGATACCTCAATTTACAATTAAAAAAAATATTTTATACTTTTAATTTTGTACTATATTAAAAAAAATTATTTCATAAAAAGTTATTAATTCAAATTATAAGAAATTGCAGAAGTGACTTGAGAATTGTAAAAGAATTTGTTAGGCATTTGCTGAATTAACAAGCATTCAATGTATTACAAGCATCATTGATAAATACTAACAATTCTACATATCATCTTTCACAAATATGACGTAATTCTTCATCTCCATAAAGCATGCAAATATTTTTTTACATTTCCATTAAAATACAGAAACAGTTTATACAAAACGTGGTTAGATTTAAGTTCTTACATAAAAGAAAATTAATGGTTTGTTTTGAACATGATTTGTTTTTAATACTTTTATTATTTTATTTATTTGTCAAAACCATGTCTTCAAGTGGATGATGAAATTATTTGCCAAGTGTCGAAAAATGCACCAAGTCGTGACATTGAATTAGAAGTATTATTATTATTTTGTATATTTTCTCTTTTCTTTCGTAGAATTGAACTATATATTTTATTATATATTATTACATTAGCCCTTAAAAATAGATAAATATTATATAACAATTTTTTATGCTAATACTCTTGTTCTGAGGATAATAAGGTCTTTATCATGGCCATTTTATGCTTGGTCAGGGTCAAATTAATGCTTAACTTATCTAAGCAATACCACTCATGAAAACACCCTGTGGATCTTCTAGTATTAGATTGGCAAGCACATTTTATGTGACGGTGGAATGGCCAAAGTGACTAATTAATCTGATGGTAGTAGGCATTAAATTTGTCTTTCTAAGTTTTTGTAATTTTTCTAATTTTCTAACATTGCATTAAGTGGATTTTTCTATATTAATCACTTTGGAACTCAACAGTAAATGACCAATAACATTAATAGTATGGTTAAATGAGTGTAGGTAAAAAAAAAACTACAATCGGGATGAATAAAAACAATTTCCACTAAGATTGTAGTTGGAGCTTGGTCAAAAAAATGGTATATCCTATATTAGGAAGTTTTTGAGAAAGAGGACATATTAAAATGCTGGTGAATTGAATCATTTTATTAATGTGGGTATACTGTATAACCCTTAGAACATGTAACTGAACTGTGAAAGTTTTTTAGGAGACAGATCAATAATGCACAAATCCAAATTTGTTAACTCATTTTTTGTAGTTTTGCAGAATATGCCAGTTTTCTGCTAAGCACCTCAACTGTTTAAATATGTTGCTTTAATTTTTAATTAATCAATCTTCAAGTTACATAATAAACTAATAGTTAATACTGGATGAATTATGTATATGCTTGCTAGCATATAGTTGAAGTAAGAAATTCCATCAATGTAAACTATTGTGTTGCAAATAAATAAGAATTAAAATTTTTTCTCTGCTGACAAGAGTTGACTTCCTTCATGTAATAAATGCTGCATTTTTTAATGGAGCATTTATTACATGAAGGAAGTCACATCTTGTCTTATGACATTAAACAATAAATGTTTTACTCTACAAACTAGAGTAAAGTGCAAATTATGACTAACAAGTTTCAATTTTCATACCCTCCAAAATCTCATTTATATATATCTATAACCTATATAATCGTGTAATTATTATTGGATAAATTTTGTCACCTAGCCAGATATAAAAACAGAAAATAACACAGTACACATAAAAAGAAAATTGTGTGTCGTTCACTTGACAAATCTATCTAAAACAATTAAACTTCCTATCTCAAGGTGCTTTAGCCAATCCTTTGAAAGTCGTTGGTATTACAAATCTTAGTATTTATCTTTATCTTATTTAGCGTAAAAGTTTAACAGATTAATTCATAAGCATAGACATTAAGAAGATAGGAATTACCCTTACTTAGTTTCTCTTTTCTGGTAACAATTTCCTTATCCCTTGTATTCGAAGCTAGTCTTAAAAGCTGAATTAGAAATCTTCTTCCAAATTGGGATCAGCAAGGAAGTAGTTCTCTGCCAGCTGAGCTTGTTTCTATGTAGCATTAAGATTATTTTACGAAATTAACCACATAATAATCATTTCTAATTTGATTATTTATTATAAAGCAGAAAGTTTGACAACTAAATTATAATTTAAGAAAAAATTGTGTAAATTGAAAGACGTATTAGAATATTTTTAATAGCAGTACAATTTAATATTATTTTATAGAAAAAAATGTAAATAAAATATACAAAAAATAAAAGTTTAGTACATTAATATATAATTATTTTAAACGGAAATTAAACATTTCTTATTATCAATTTATATCACAAATTAAAATATTTTTTGTTAATCTTGTGTATAACCTTTATTTTTTATGTACTTTATAAAGATTAGACAAACTTTTGAAACAAACGATTTACATGCAAATGAAGGTGTTAGTTGCAAAAATTGATTTTCTAAAAAAGTGTTGACATATATCAACAATCCGAAAACAATATGCTCTTGTTTTTTTTCTTATTTATTTTCTAAAACTTCTATTTAATCTTAATATTTCTTTTGTCTATAATAATAACGTTACACTATAGTATAAACAGTGTGAATGAGTGCAGATAATACAGAAGGAATATTTGTTTGGTTTGAAGCAGCAGTTTGAAACATTTATTAGAAAATTCCAAAAGAAGAAAAAAGTTGTCAAATATGTAAAATATGCATAGCAATGAAAGGAAAATTTGTTTACATTGATGAAAGAATGGCGTATGATAAAAAAATGAACTGAAAGAATGTTGTTACACATGATTAAATTCCAGTTATTGCATGAACGTTATGTATTTGCTCGAAGAAAAAAAAATTAAATCATATGGAATTTAAACAACTTATCGAAGTTATTTAAGTGTTACATGATTTACTAATTTAGTTTTTAAAAATACTTTTGAGAATTGTCCGTATATATTATTTCGATTTTGAATTCAATAAATTATACATTGTCAAATTTAATGTATAAAGACAATCTGTCATGATTTTTCATCGGTATTTATTAGTTAATATCATAATATAAAAACCGATAATTTGAACGTTGTTTGCTAATGATAAATTACTATTTTGTTTAAGTTGATTGCATTACCTTTATCTACCCTTGTACAGGAATTATAGAACTTTAAAGTACTTGAAGATTTTTTCATAGATCTGGCTTGATTAAGTACTTAAAAATAAATCTAAATTTTTTAAACATAAATTATAAATCCTTAAATTTATAATTAGAATATTTATTAAGTATTTATTGACACTTATATTTTTATATTATATCATCTATGCTTGATAATCAATAGTACTGAAATATTCACTTATGACTATTGATTTAATATAAAATTACTGCAAGGTTTCTCTTTACAATGTTAAACGAAATTTAAGAATATTAGTTTGCTACAATTTTTAAATTATATAACCTTAAATATATAATGATACACAAATTATTTGATGAAAGATTTTGTTTCCTTTGATTTTATATATTTTTAGTCAATTTGTTGTAGTTTGTCGTGAAAGACTTAACCATTGAAACAACTTAAATATATATATATATATATATATATATTTTTTTTTCTTTCTTTTTTTTTTGTTTAGTAATTTTTCAAATAAGATTTGATTGTATGATTCTCTTATCAAATAAGAAAGTTACATCATCATTTGTTCATTATCTACTAAATGAAATAAAATGTTTTCTCTTAGTAAAGGATTGAAGAATACCTCCAAGTAAGAGAGTTTTATATTCAATTTAAATAGGTAATTGATATTGATTCAATGGTAGAAGATTATCATCTAAATATCATATTTGTTTACTTTAGTATTCAAATCTTACCGAATTTGACAAATATTATTACCGTAAAACTATGAATATCAGAATTTTTTAATGAAAAAAATGAGTTTTTTCCTTTTTTGCATAAATTGAAAATATAAATTCTAAGAAATTCCACACACTATTCTGAAAATATTTATTAAATTAATTAAATATTTATCATTTTCTTATTATTTAATATTGAAAATAATGAATATGAGTAGGAAAAAAGAACAAAGAATAATAATAATAATCGAAAATTTTTTCGTTTGAATAATAGACGATTTTCGATATTAAAATTTCTATACGTATATAAAGAAAAAAAAACTATGCAATTTTAATATTCCCGATGCAGCTTCTAAAGAAACTATTTATCATTTTATTTCTCCATCCGAAGAAATAATAAATGTCTTAGATCAGCGGAAAGATCATTCAGGAAGCTCATTTTTCTGTTTGATAAAGTTGCTGAAAGAAGCACAATTTTGAGAAGTCCAATAAATGATATTCGCTGCCTGTCATAATTACATCTTTTATATATACATATAGCGTATAATAATAAGTCATCACGACCTATTCATTAAAATAAGATTTTACAGAAGCCATATAAAAACAAGATATTTTTTATATTTANTTGAAACGGCTAGATCTTTATCTTTTCATGGAGCCGAAGTGATCATGGCAACCCGCAGCAAAGAAAAGACGGAGTGTGCAATTTCGACCATTAAACAGGGAAATTTGTAAAGAATGCCCACTAGGGGGCGTCCCTGGCTGCTAGTGTATTATAATGCAACTAAATTCATACATTTTAAAATATTTGATCATTACTATTATATACAAATAATTTGTTTTGATTTTTTTAGGGTTTGAAACGGCTAGATCTTTATCTTTTCATGGAGCCGAAGTGATCATGGCAACCCGCAGCAAAGAAAAGACGGAGTGTGCAATTTCGACCATTAAACAGGAAAGGGTAAGTCAAAGATGAAATATTAGAAAGCTTTACTGATGGAAAATTATCAAGAAACAAATAGTGAGAGAGATTTAATTTTGAGCATCTTGAATTTGACCTAAATAATTTTATCATGAAAGTTAAAAGCCAGCAATACATTGCATAATTTTCCTGGCAAAAAATGTTTAAGAAACACACAACTAAGTTTAAAATTGTGTGTGGTGCCATCTGTTATGAGATTTTATATTATTGATAATAATAAAAAGGCAAAAGGCTTAATTTTGAAAGTAGAGATGAGTTTTTAAAAATATTGTAAATGCCAATAACAATTAAAATTTCCATTCAATGACATGAAGTTTGAGGGGGATGGTCACTCTATCCCTTCAAACTTTAACCATTAAAATTTAACAGCATTAATGCCCCTTATATACAAGTTACCATGCTAAATTTCACTTCTTTATCTTTCCCCCATCCAGAGATATTATACAAAATATGTCAACACACATCCATTGAATTTTTATTATCCTTTTTTGGGTTCAGAGGTCTGAAAACAACAAGATTTGCAGAAAAAACCCAAAGGGTCAAGTTTCATCTGATTCCAATATATTCCCATATAATATACAGCCAGAAAAGTAAAATTAAACAACAATTATGAAAAAATAGTTAAAGTATGTTATAGTATTATGCCAATCTAAAATAAATAAGTGATACAAGGACTATTTAGAAATCAACCTCCAGTGAGCTGTTAGAGAAAACAAGAAAGTAAGTTAACAGTTTTATTATGTACAGTACAAATCAAAGCTACTTCTTGACGCAATCACCCTGTAAATTCAGGCACTTAAAAGAAATTCATCCCATCCTTTGATATCACCTCAAAGAACTTGCCACTGGAACAGAGTATTTATGCCAATTGTCAGCTATTCTTTGTGTGGAAATGCTGCAATCCCACTCAGACCATCTAAAATTCACTAGGGAGCAAGGTTTGCACTATGTTGTGGTACAGAAATAGATCCCAATGAAACTACTGCAAAGCTTTTGTGCAAACAGCTAAGGGGTCATGCATTGTTGTTCAGAAATACTCAATGTCAACATTCTTCTGTTTGTTTGAATGTCTCTACAAAGCTCTTTCAAGATTTTATCAGCAGGTCTGTGAAGTTATCTCCTAGGTGGTAACTTCTTTGACGAAGGAATATAGAAACTTGTCCCACAATGTACAAGTGCATAAATTTGCAGGGTGCTTAATTTTCATATAGAAAAAAGAATGGAAGAAAAAATTTCTCTTAATCCATCAAAGCCAAATGATGGCCTGATTAGATTGGACCATATTCCTACTACCATTAATAATTAAACACTAAGTAATTTGGCCTAGTAGTAGTGTTAGGCTGCCATCTCTTATTAAATTTAATAATACAAGATGACAACCTGACACCTACTTCTAGGCCTAATTAATAATAGCAGAAATAGTCAAATGATTGCCAGTCTTATTCGGCAATCATTTGACTTTAATATAACTATTGGGCTTACTGATTATTTGTACAATAACGTGCTCATTTTGGTAGGAAATCAGCTTAGCAAAAAAGTTAATATCTTAAAAATGTAGTGATCAGTTAATGCTTTCACATTATCTAATGAGATATCATCTCTATTAAAACTTTTAACAAATATATTTCAGCCTCATGCAAAGTTAGAATGGATTCATTTAGACCTTTCATCCTTAAGAAGTGTAGAAAAATTTGTGGAAGATTTTCGATCACGTTACAGGTTTTGTTTTTAATTTTTCTTTTGATTCTGATGAAACCGTGTTGTTGTTATTAAGCTGTTTCTTTGCAGACACACTAAGGTGACATATATCAACACTTGGCAACTTATTGACTATTTATTCAGTATTTATCCAACTGAATAAATAGTCAATAAGTTGCCAAGTGTTGATATATGTCACCTTAGTGTGTCTGCAAAGAAAAAAAATTTAATTTTTCTGTTTATTTTGTTATAAAAAGTATCATTTTAAGTATTTTTGAAATATTTTTCAGTGCTCTTCATATATTGATACTGAATGCGGGCGTATTTAGTCCTCCTTTCACTCTCACCGAAGATAACTTTGAGAGCACCTTTCAAATTAACCATCTTAGCCATTTTTATTTGACCAAGCTTCTAGAACCCGAAATGATTCAAGCCGGTTCCTGTAGAGTCGTAGTGGTGTCCTCCGAAAGTCACAGGTAAAATTGTCGTCAAACGAGGAAGTAATATATTTAAACGACACATACCTTGTTTCTTCCAGATTTAGTTACCTAACTAAGGAAAACTTGTCTGAAGAGAAACTTTCTCCTACAGTTTATAAAAATTACGTGGGTCTAAGAGCTTACAACAACTCAAAATTGTGTAATGTCTTGTTTAGTAACGAATTGAATAGAAGATTGTCACCCAAAGGCATATATTGTAATTCGCTTCACCCAGGAAATATGGTCAGCAGCTATCTTTCGAGACAGTGGTGGCTCTACAGACTGCTTTTTGCACTCGTTAGACCGTTCACCAAATCTCTGGTATTTGTTACAAATTAGAAATATTAAATTGTGTATTATGAATTATATTCTAAAACAATCATCTGGCCAGCACTCTTAAGGTGTTAGCCTACTGCTCTCACCTTTCTTTATCCTGGTCACATCATCACAGCTTCTTAGTGCCCACGGGGCAGAGTAAAAACTGATGAGCAACAAGAGCAATGATTTATATTTTAATAAGATTGTGATACTAAAATCAAACATTGAGTATTACTCATAATACACAACTTATTGACAAGTGAAGATATTTGACTCACTGAACTAATTTTTATAAAAAACTTTTCAGCAACAGGCAGCTTCTACAAGTATATACTGTGCCACGGTACCCGAATTAGAAGGCGTCGGAGGAATGTACTTTAACAACTGTTGCAGATGTCAGCCATCCGCAGCTACCGAAGACAAAGAACTGGCTGAATTGCTGTGGAACATGAGCGAAGCAATGATCAAAAAAGCCCTAGAAAGTCATTGACATTGGTAATGTTTAAATTAAAATTTGTACGTAAATTAAAAAATTCACACTAAAAACTTTGGGACATTTCTTATTTAATTTACAAAACAACAGATTGAGTCCATAAAATACAAAATCAGACGTATACTGTATTTATTGTACTGTCAATTGTGATACAGTACACATATTGGATTTTGCTTAAATGTAAAAACTCTTTACTATAATGAGACTCCACATAAATCACATATACTACGTCTGTTGTTGATAGTGTACAGCCACACTAAGTGAAAGCTTTTTATTTATTTATTTATTCTGGTCCATTTGAATTTTGGTCACTTCCAAATTTTTAGGTAAATCATCATTAATGAAGAGGTAATCTGTACTTATCCTGCTTGGATTGTTTCCATGCTTGAATCCTGTTCTTCAGGTCAGTTGCTAGAAAATACAAATATATTTAAAATTTGATCTGACAACAAACAGTATACATAAAATACAGAAGCAGAATGCCACAAAATTTTGTTTTTAATAGTTTCAGCAGAAAAGCACTCATTGATGTTTAAATAGAAATCATCTTATTTATCATTACAGTTACTATAGTGTACACAAGTTTCAAAGCAGATGCATGTCTAATGCCATGATGATATAAAGAATTTATCTATTGGAATATTCTGTTCTGCAACAGATTCCTATAAACTTGGCATGTATGAAAATAAACAATTTTTTTTCTCATTACAGACAGTCTGAAAAAAAGAGGAAATGACATGGATTTCTAAAAAGATTTTTCTGTTGTAGATACCAGTGATACTCTGTCTGCTGTACAGATGCCTTTGCTTTCTACAACAAAACAACTATAGCAGATAATATCAGTCAATGCCTCCAGGCAGCTATTTTTTATCTGATACCCACAAACTCCATTCGGGCAGAAAAACATTTTTGTCTAGCATTTTAAGTAATGTCCTTGGATTGTAAATGAATAAATTGTTTATTTTTTGCAATCTAAAAACATTAGTAATAGCAGTTACTATCAGTTCAAGTACAGTGGCAGACAAAAATATAAAGAGAAGTCTGGTGATTAGCACAAAAAACAAATGGGGTCCCTGTTCCAGTCAGCTCAACACACCTTTTGTTATCACTATATTTTTGTCAAGAAACAAGTACAGAGGAGCACAAGCACTAATGATTATCTTTTCCTTTCAAAATACAGCATTAAGGAAGAATGTCAATTGCTAAAATGGTGCCTATTTCTTGTTTTGGATTTAATGTACAAATTTATAACTTAGTATTTGCACTTTTATTAAAAAAAAGTATTTAATATTGTTTAAAATGTTGATGGTTGTTATTTTTTTTCACTAACTTTAGAAAATGAGCACTGCCTCCAGGAGTTCTTACATCTAAATTTATCTTGTCATACTCTACATACTGTAATGACTCTTTGCCACAAGCAGGAACATGTAATTTGTATGTGTATAAACTAATTTTCACTGGTTGCTCTGAAAATTTTATGATCACTGCACCCAACCATTAATGAGTGTGTGTTAAGTTTCTCCAAGCTGCCATTGCTTTTGATTTTAGAGATGATCACTTCAATGAGAAATCTCAAAGTGAAGATTGTCAGAAGTGTAAAGCAGTGCTTATCTGAAAGACCTTTGGTGTATCCTTCACCCATGGATCAAGCACAAGTTTGGCTGGGAAAAAGAGAAAAAATAGGGAAATTGGCTTTGTGTTCATACATTATCCTGATAAGTCATCTGAATATTCTGCACTGACCTACAAGTCCAAATCTAATACATTCTATACATCAAAGTATCTGGCATCTTTTGAAGTGCAGATATACCAAGATCAACAGTATGTACATCAATCATGAGAAACTCATTGATGCTATTATTTGGGCTGCTAACAATTTAAACAGGTATTTCATCCTTTTTTTTATAATAAACTTCCAATCCCTTGCCGATTATGGTTTAACAATCTGGACCATAGCAACCCCTTATCTTTTAGAAAAATTTTGTCAAGTTCTTTCAAGAATTTATCTGATTTTAAGTAAAACTTTCCCATTTACCTATTATCATCATCTAGAATGAGTTAAATATTTTAATGGTTATATACAGTCTGATTGGCTTTGACTAAAAACACCACAATGAAACCTGCATTACTCTAAGTATTTTTACACCTTTTTTATATTGTCCATTTCCCAAAGATCTTTTTTTACTGTATTTCAAAAAATATGATTAATCTCAAAAACATACTTTGTGAAAATTTTACTATTATAAAGAATATGTTAAAACAATCGTGAAAATGAAGAAAAAATTTTAAAATATATTCTAATTTCATAAAAATATTTAAAATTTTCCCCCATTACATCTTTTTAGCTTATTTATTTATTGTTATATGGGGGTGGAAATCTTTTGTCTATCAGATTTTTACTAATGTAACTAAAATAAAATCAATAAATTCATTTTTGACTATTATAAGTTACATTAAATTATTAATCTTTAAAGGTGGTCTTCTGTAAATACTTATAAGCTCCTCCTACAGCTACATGTATCTGCCAGTCTATACTGTGTCAAGTCAGTCCTGGAAGCCATTTTTTGATGTCCAAGGGCTTTCATTGGCCATCCTTAACCTCACCCGTGTTATTCCAGACATATCAGGGTCGTGACCTTTGACCCACGGGGTTAAACCCCGTGGGTCAAAGTATCGGTACATTTTTTATACTAGATGTCGCTATGCATCATATTTTTTATATTAAAACTAGCTGCAAGATCCCACTTCGCTGGGTTTTTTTTTGCAGAACACTTAAAATACATCAGCTTTAACCTCACCTGTGTTGTTCCCAACATATCAGGGTCGTGACCTTTGACCATGCAGGTCAAAGGTCACGATCCTGATATATGTTGGGGTATCAAAAACTTACCGATACTGTACCGATATATCTTGTTACAGTATCGGTACGTTTTTGATACTAGATGTCGCTATGCATCATAATTTTTATATTAAAATGAACTTTCGAAATATAATTTTTTGTTTTTATATTTTTCAATATATTTATTTTGTTTGTGCAAAATAAAAAAATAACTTTTAATGATACGGTAGCCACAGTTAATATTAAAAAAAAATTTTTCGTTTGGCTTAACATTGACAAAAATTCAACATGGCGGCCACACTCAATGGAGAAAAATTTCAACATGGGATAGATTAAAGAAGGGGTGGCAAACCTTTTTGAAATCAAGAGTGCACTTGGTCTAGTATATGATGTCATTTCCATTTGCTGATTACATTCCCATACNATATATATATAACAAAAAATTATATTTCAAAAGTTCATATTTTCAATATATTTATTTTGTTTGTGCAAAATAAAAAAATAATTTTTAACAATACAATAGCCACAATTATTATTTAAAACAAAAAATTTTTCATCTAAAAATTCAACATGGCAACTACACACAACAGAAAAATTTAAACATGTGATAGGTTAACCTTTTTTTCATTCATATCTGATTATCACAATGCTTCACAAACTTCCCTATCCTTGATCTTTCCCCAAAGACTTTCATTTTAGGAACCATGCAAGTTAAATAGTTCAGTCAGCAGCAGAGATGGAAGCAGTGAGTCCGTAAAGACACAAAATAGTTTCCAGGACTGCTTTGAAAAGTGGTGTGGATATAGACAGAAATGTGTAGCTACAGAAGTAACTTATTTTGAAAGTAATGTGTGTAAAAGTTTGATAAAACTTGTCAAAATTAAAAACCAAACCTTTGGCACTACTATATATGATTTTAAATATGTGTTCTTTTGCTCAGAACAGCATATTTTCTGTTTCTGCCTTTTGATTTTATATGTTTTTAGCTTAATTGTGCTTCAATTAGAATTTTGAATTTTTACCTGGAATCAACATGTCTTCAGTTAAATGCTGCCGATTAAATGGATCCGTGCTGGAATTGAGCAGGTGGCGAACGATGATTGGTCGATCCATTATCGTGCCACTGGGCAATATGACTGGATCCTCCATCAAAGTATCCATAAGAGGATCTAAATAACAGATATTAAGGGTTTAAAATGCTTTTTTAAGATACATTGGCTTATTTTAATAGATGTTTAATTTGATTTTGTAAATGTAATTAATTAGTTTTGTTACCTCTAAATTCTTCAGGTGCATCACTGTAATCTATTTCCTGCTTCAGATTTTGTATCACAAATTTCTGAACACGACTTGATAAATCTTGAAATTGATGTATTTGCATGTCCGTTTTGATCATCGCCTTCTTCATTCGAGAAATTGCATCTTCAAATAACTCTTGTCGATATGACCGCTTAGGGGAAAGAGGAAATATTAATAAAGAACATTAAATTTACTCCGAGAAAAAATGAAAATTGTATAACAATTACTTCGTCAGATGCAATAGCTTGAGCAAACTGATCACAATCCAAATGGAGGTAGATATCAGTGAGTTGATCAAGCAACTTTTTTGGTTCCCATCCATATCTGTCAGGATTTTTCACTTTCAGATTTTTACACTTGGGACCACACAATTGTTGTAAATTAAAATTTAACATGGCAGCTAGTCTATCTGCTAATTCCTATAAATAAATAAATAAATATCAAAATGGTTAAAAGTTACATTTGGTTTGTTTTATGTTATGTCATTGATATTAAACAAAAATATTTACTGGACGCAAGAAAGGTTCTTTTATGTCATCAGTTAAGTAATGAAGCATGTCTACAGTCTCTCTAGCTAGAGTAAGGTATGAGCGACATTGCCGCTCATCTGTTGCTAGCTGTCTCTGCTGAGTTTGTTGTGCTTCCTGAAATATATAAGAAAATAATAATAAAATTATATAAAATTTTTATTTCAACTATTATTATTTAAATAAATACACACATGAGGTTGCTGATGCCAACTCTGCTTATTTTCCATTGCTTCTTGAGCTTCGTGAATTCTCTTTAAAGTTTCTAAACTTTCGTCTAACAGGAATGTTGTATCATTCATAAGCATATTAATAAATCTAACAAACTGTTTACCAGTCCTGGAATAAATTAATATATCAGTTTATCTTTTTAACATTTTTTCTAAATTCTCATATAAAGTTTTTTAAAAACTTACGCAGATTCCCTGATGACAGCTTGTTTATGTACAGGACTTATCCACAGGCTCTTGAATATGATGCTGATATGATAACGAATTGTGAATTTATCATAAAATTCACTTGTTGCACCTGTGGTTTCAACATCTGCAAAAATTTAATTCATGTATTCAGTCAACTTTAACAATTTCTTGATTAATAAACAACTATTTACCTGTATAAAATTTCATCAATGCTAATGAAAGATGATGTTCTGCTAATGGATGAGAGAGTAAACGAGTATGCAAGTTTCCTGTGTATGGCTGAATGGATGGATTTGCCATAAACATAACTTCTACCAACTTTGCTATCAAATATGGATTGTTCACATAATAAGGCGAACACACCAGAACCACCAAAAGAGTGAGAAGTTCCTGAGTAATATTGGTCTCAACTACTTGTGGCAAATATCTTTAATAATGACAAATATTAATATATTTAAATATAAATTATTATTAAATGGCAGAATCAGTCTTACTGTATGGCAAACAGCAGAAAATCAGCAATATCTTCAATATACCAATCTGGATATGCAGCAAATGTCTGTGGCACATTTGTTGGTAATGGCAATGTAATTCTGAACAAAAAAAGGATGTCAGTTAAATTATTATATTCAAACAGTTATTTAAATACTTGAAAATAAAGAATATTATAAAATCTTAATTATGTTCATTACTCACTCATTGGGACCTGATATCACTTTCAACAGTAAACCAGCTACCATTGAATAAAATTGTATGCAACGGCGCAGTAACACTTCATCTAACAAACCTGCATCAGCACAAGCTTTTCCTTTTCCAAGTTTCTGAAACATTATCAACAAAGATGTAAGATTTATGTAATTACTAATAAGTTTTTTAAAATATAAATTAATCAACTAACTTTGGCTTGAGATTTCCATTTTTTAACAAGCTGCCTATTTCTGTCTGCAGTGGGTAAATAACGCCACATGTATTCCACAGCCTGAATCTCCTCTGCAAGTCTCTGTAAATCACGAATGGCTCTAAGTCTACGGACATAACGACGAATAGCTGGAATGATGGCCAAGTGATGGCAGTGTAGTGTGAGGAAGAAACATTCGGTAGGAAATTTTATTTCCTGCCAAGAATGGCTACCACTTTTACCTGTGTCAACAGAAAAAAATTAGATAAACAAATAAACAACAAAATAATGTGTTAATTGTGTTAAGATAAAATATTTCTTACTCATTTCTTCAGTCCAAGTAGTAGCATCCAGACTAGTACATTTTATTCTACTTTCATTTTTAATATCTATTCTACTTCTAGGATGATAAGGATAATATGGATCAACCTAGTAACCAATTAAGCATATTAACAATTTAAACAGTTTTGAATCAAAATTATATACACAATTTATTAAAATCATTAATTTAATTTTTTTAAGATATACCTTATCTAGCTTCACTTTTACTGATAGCTGATGCAAAACCGATAATAAATTTATCATGAATCCATCACCAGCCACAAAGCGTTCATCACTCTAAAAACAATAAATAAATAATTAGAAACTGCCAATAATGTTTAAGTTTTATAGGAAGCCAGAAAATTTTAAGTAATAAGAGAAATTAAAATTAGCAATATTTTATGTATAGGGTTGTTTGAGAAGTTCACTGTGGTCTTTAAGAGAAATAAAAACTCTTTTAAAACTAAAAACATATCTTTATTCAATTATGTACGTGCTGTTAATGCCTTTTTTGTAGGCCAATTCTGAACATTTTTCTTCAATTTCCATCTTCAGTTGATCCAGTTTGGAACAACACTTATAAGAATTGATTGAGCTGCTTCCACTAAATCAAACATTGTACAGAATTTCTAATCCCACCAGATGGTGAGTATGACTTCTTTCTTTAGGTGAAGTCTGGCTTATCCCACAATTGTTTTCGGCTGATGCTGTTATAAACAATCCACTTTTTAATCACTAGATGTTTCAGAAAAGAGTTGTTTTTATTACATTTTTGAAGAGAATTATAAATAGAGATGTAATATGGCAGTTCTTTTCCACTAAGTCAAAAAATTCAAATGTAATGATTCACATATCTGAACTTCAGATATAGAAATATGGCACTGTTCAATGACTTCACTATGTATGATGTCCCTCGAGTTATGCAACAAAAGGTTGTCATTAGGGTTTCTCATTTCCCGCTCTTTTGCTTGTCCCGGGATTCCGGGGTAAAAGTGAACTGTTTCCCGGGATCCCAGGAAATCCCGGAATAGAATCAATTATTTTTAAGGTATACAAAATATCTTGAAATTAAATGATATAATTATTTTTCATTTTTTAAAGTAATTTTAAAGTTCTGTATCATCCAAAATCATATTAATAATGCTATGTAAGATATATAATAAAAATTACCTTTGAATTACGTAGAAATTTTCACAAATAGAAAAAATTTATTAAAGTTTGCTAGAAACTGCATACAACAACAACAACAAAAAAAATGCTTTGAATTGAGTTAAAAATTAAAAATTGAACTTAGATCAAACTTATAACTTAGAAGGTAATTTTCGTTTTTTAAATAAAATATAATACAAAATATTGTAAACTTTTATAAGATTTTAAAAAGCAAAGATGATCAATACTCCGATCACTCATTCTAAGTCTTATTTTAGTAATGAAAAGTCTTGCTACCGAGAATGCCCTTTCCGATTCAATTGATGCGATTGGAATCGTGTTTAATGCATTTAAGAGAAGACAGATATTATGTGTTTTTTCATCTGTAGCCTGAAAGATTTCAAGTTTGTTTTCTAGATTGTAGTACTTCTTTTGCTCTCTAGTATTTTTGATTTGTTTACCTCAGCTGCTTTAATAGCAGCATCAAGCTTATAGCTCAATAATTCGGCAATTTGTTTGGCTTTAATAATCAGGTTTATGAAGAAAAACTTCATACTTGCAGACTTTATACTCATTTGTATCTTTGTCCAATTTGCACAATCTGGCATTATGCATTTATTGAAGCTACTGGACATGGTTAAATATTAAGACAGCGTAAGCACAATTATTCCTTATATTACAGGTTCTGACAAGTAAAGAATTTTCAGAGTCCTACCACAAATAAGCTACNAAAATTATTTATAATTATTAATATTAATAAGAGATGGCGCCTAACGCTTACCTCTAGTACCAAATTGATTACGTAATTTATCTAATAAGTAGCATAAAACTAGCCCGATAGATTTTCGGCTATAAAACAATAGATTTTCGGCTATTTAATAAGTAGCATAAAACTAGCCCGATAGATTTTCGGCAGTCTGTTGGTTGTAGCTATAATTATATATCGGGTTGGAGATGTTTGTATAATTTTCCAGGTTAAAAAAATAACCGGAATCCTGTTTGAGAAACACTAGTTGTCATCCAATAATGTTTTGATCTGGTCGTCTTCAACAAGGATTGGTCTTCCCGAATGTAGAGCATCTTCAAGGTTGAAATTACCCACTTTAAATTTAGTAAACCACTTTTGAAAACTTGATTCTCCTACAGCACCCTCATCATTAACATCACATATTTCTGTTGCTGTTTCTATGCATTTTTGCCTTTTCAATAGAAGAAAAGAAACAATTGTTGAAAATGCAACTTGTTTGCTTTCATTTTCACAAAATACAATAAAATTTTTTGTAATGAGCATTTAATTAGCCTTGTAATGGATATTATTAGAATGCATGAAAAAGATATGAATCAATTCTAATAATTTGCACTTCATCCAGTATCCCAACTGTCAGCTATGAAAAATTGCTACAAACTTTCCAAATAACCCAATAAACAGATGTTAAACATTACATATTTATCTATTAAAACATTAATCTCACTGATAGTTTTATAGGCTGATATAGAAAAAAAACTGGAATCACAATATTTTCAATTAACTAAATCAACAAATGAAATCTTAAACACTCTGATTAATGATTTTCAGAAAATAAATATTTATATATTTATATTTATTCCATCTGTTGATGAAATACAGTAAGACCCCATTAATGCTGCCTCGATATAACACTGTCTGCTTGAAGCCTTAAAAAAACTCAAATTTTACACTGATTTAAATTATCGCAGCATTTTATTGATTTGTACATAATACAATTACTTATGAACACAAACCAATCAGAAAAAGATGTACTTTCTTTAAATCTATGTTTGGTGCAATTTTGGAAAAAACATAACATCATGGATGTCATAGGCAATATCGGCTTTGCATGAAGAATTAACTGATAAATGCATGAATGAAGTGTGGAAGAAGTTATGGCTGAAGGTATCCAAGAATTCTCAATGAGAAGAGCCTATCACTGTATCATTAGGTTGAGTTTGATCAACTTAATCGATACAGCAGGATTAGGAGATGTAGATGAACAGGATATTGAGGATATTTACAGAAAAATATATTTTCTTTGACTATACATAGATGAGTCTTAGTCCATTTTTTGTCCTTTCACACGCTATATGAGGCAATAACAATTCCATTGGCGAAGTCAACCTTTCTTTGTAGGCTACCATTTGTAAAAAAATGTAAAATAGTTACAAAAGTCCTCTAATGGTAGCACAGCAAAATTAAAATTAATAATTACATAAATAAAAATTGCCAGGACATATATGACATTTACAGAAAAAGTTCAACTTTGCCAATGGAATTGTTATTGCCTTGTATAGCATGTGAAAGGACAAATATTCATCAAATAATATAAAATTATCACTAGTTTATAACTTTTGTATTTAATAATAATAGCATTACATAATTATGTAATCAAACATAATTAGAGTATATTAAAATAAGAAAAAACTGTAAATTTTATAAAACAATCATATTTGAATGTTTGTCAGAATTGAAATAAATCCATAAATTACAAACAAGTTATAAATTTATTAGTGATGCTGTAAAATTTACCTGAAGCTGTGCTCTTTTCTCATTTGCTTGTAAAATAGCTCCAATATAATTGAGAGCACCTTCCCTACTTCCTGTATTAACTAGTACAGCATGAAAGACTCTGAAAATTTCATTCTAAAATAAAAAAAAATAATTAAACTATGAATTATAAATACAGATTTTAAGTAATAAATCATCACTTGAAAAGCTAAATAAAAAACTCTAATTTCAATAAAAAAAACTGTAGTATATAAGGAATTTAGTTATGAAATTGACTATATATATATAAACTTCTAGCCCGTTAATTTGGCTTTGGTTGCTTTAATGTTTATCGGATTAGCTGATGTCTGTTTATATATATAATCACGGATTTTTACCTTAATTCTAAATAATTCTGTAGGAAAAACAAAATTTAAAATTTTCAGATGGCTATCATTTTTTAAACTTAATTCATAGATGAATATACACTAAGTTTAAATTTACATTAAATACAATAAAAATCATTTTATTCAAATCCATTCAGAATTATTGGATTTGAAATAAAGAACTTCATGCAAAAATTATAACTACTGAAATCTCAGAGTGCTTACTTTTATAATTAGAAAATATATTAAGCTAATAGTTTAAGAGAAAGAAAAGAAAGAGAAGATAAAAAATTTATTAAAGAACCAAATACAAACTAAAGTATATTTTAACTATTATGTTGACAAAAATATAAGCCATATTATTCAAATTTGAGTTTTTATCTAAAATTGTTTAATAAGAGTTTCAAACAAACAAACTAAATTACATCATTTATTTATTTATCGATTTAGTAAATACCTACCTACCTATCTAATTAACTAGATTTATTCTCAACATTTATCTTATACTCAATTTGGTATAGTGCACAAAATTGGAAATTTTGCTAAAACAATTTGAAAGGCTATAATTAGCTAAAGGTCATTAATAGCTATGTTGAAATATACTTGTTTTTAGATAATTTATTTTGATTTTTAATGTTTATGAGAATAAATATCTAATAGTACAATAAAAATATTTCGTAGTTTATGATACAAAATCATTGAAAATCAATGTGTTTGCATGTGTTAAGAGATAAAATGGCCAAAATAAAAAAAATGCTTGATAAAATTTTAAAAGTTTTATTGAAATTATTTGAAAAATTTCATGATTAAAAATGTAAAACAAGTTTTTCTTGTCAAATAATAAATATTACAGATTCACTTCAAAGATACAAATTAAATCACACCTAACTGATCTAATCATCTCACAATATTTCTGCTAAACCTAGACTTAAATTTTAAAATCAAACAGAAATTTAGTTATTTCAAAATTTAATTGATTGAAATATAAAATTATCCACTTCTTAATTCAAAGTTATGCATAGCTTATATTAATAATACAATATATCAAAAATGAATAGAAACTACTTGATAAAAAGAAATTTATTAATTGTTTATTAATAATTAAGATTATTAATAAGTTCTCTCACTTTTCAATTTTTGTAAATTAACAAACAATTAATAAATAAATTTTATGGAATATTTCCCATGAATCCCTATTTCAAAAATTTAATTAGTGTGAAGAAAGCAAAGAAAATATCCAACATTGATTTTTTTATATTTTACAATCATTGAATTTTTAATAATATGGCTTATAGGAAAGTATGGTTTAAATTCAAGCTAACATAATAAAATTGAAAAACTCACCCTTGAAAATTCAAGAAAATGTTGCAGGGATTGATTTATAAGTCGTGTATTATCAGGAGTTAAAGTGCTTCCAGAAAAATATTTATCTACTATTTTAGGCTATTAAAAATCATATTTTAGTAATATAATTTTTCCAAGTAAAACTGAATATAATTATGTTAATACTTACATTATCTTCAGCAAATACAGATAAACTGAGAAAAGGTCCCATGAAAGAAAGTTTTGCAACTTCACGACCTAAAGCTTGAGAAATTGCTTCTGGTATCCATAATTTATCTTCAACTAGCTGCATTAATTTATTATACAAGTATTTATAAAATAAATTGTTTTAAAAATTAATTTTAAAATTAATTTTCTTACCAATGTGCAAATTGGTCTATTACTCCCACTTAAACCACAACGTATTTCACATAATTCTGTTAGTGCTAATAATGGTTGTTTAAAATTATCAGATTCCAAAGAACATTGTCTCATTACATGAAGTAAACTATGTAATAATGGTACAAATACCTAAAAGTAAATTAAAGTTTTATGTATGTAAAAAAAGAGAAACACATTCTAAATATAAAAATAAACAAAAAATCAAATTCATTTATTTACAAAAACTTACAGCTTTAAATGTTTCTTGGTCTTGATATGCTACACAAACTAACTCAGACAAGAAACTTCTTGGAAAACTTTGTGTCAGCAAGTAAGGCAATAGTAAAGAAGGCTTTGATGATGGCCTTAAATATACAAATTATTTCATTATAATAGTAATAGAATACATGAACTGAAATTATAAATAAAGTAATCAGTTCACATTGAATTGTTTACCAAAACAATCCATTCACTTAAAACTTGCCTGGGTGTTGTAAATACACCTTGGATCACTGTCAACGTATGCTGAACACACTGAGTCCTAACATCAGTTAATACATCACTTAACGGTGGAACACTCGCTCGCTGTGTAAATGATAACTCCAGTTACTACACCAAATTGCATTTCTTTGTCTATGCCTATATTTACTTTTTTGATTTTATCTTTCTAAAATAGTTCTTACTCTTGGTGAATTTCTTTCTTCTACACTAACTCTTGCATAACATTCCATTAAATAAGTTATCATTTCCATCTCAGAACAATTTTCAACATGACAAATGGTTCCAATTTCTGTGGGAGGAGTTGGTAAAAGATTTCCACAAGAGCTGAAATAAATATAATAATTATATTTAATATAAGTTTTAAAAAAGTGTAACAATAATATTATTGTTCTTATTTTTACCTTCCAATATTAGAGCCATGTGACAGGGAGGAGTGTTTCTGGCCCGTTATAAGAGTATTACATCGATGCAGTTTTAAATTTAGCAATACATCTACTATGATTTGCTGAATTAGGTCTTTATGGCTACCTACAAAATTGAAAATACTATTAATATTTGTAAAATATCTTTCATTTTAACATTTTTTATTAATTTGATCTTTTTAAATATTATTTATGTTTACAATTAAATGATATATTCATTGCCAATTATTTATTTTCTAAAAATTGCACTAAAATAGATGTTAATAACAGTATATAAATGTCAAAATCAAGAAATAACATTAATTATATTAATATAATCTATTGTATAAATTTTATAAATAAAAAATTAATATGCAAAAATAATCAATTGTATAATGAAATAAGTTTGCATACATTTTTATTTAATAAAAACAGGTTTTTTAAAATTTTTGATTGGTAGTTTTTTTAAAATATCTGAAAGCTATTGTCAGCACATGAAAAATAACCTGAGTATAAAGAATGCAATATTAAAAAGGTCAAAAATTTCCTCAGATTATTTTTCTAATTATGTAATTTTCCTCACAGTTTATTTAGAAAAAAAAAGAAATCAATATATTAATATCCATGCAAATTTAATTGTCTATTATTTCAAAAATAAAATAGGTTCATTAAAAATTTCTTTGTAATGGAGTAAGCATAACTCAAATCATCTCATCTGATACTTACTTACCTAGATTATAAAGTGTATGTTTAGGAAGTTGCCTCAAGTTGTTATATGTTAGTATCCATCCACATTGTTACCAATAAAAGAATAATGAACAATAGAATGTACTACTATACTATAATGTAATTTGCCAAGGTAACTTATCAAGGAGACATTTCATGAAGTTTTAGATAAATTATATCAAGCAGAAGGTAACACACATTCTTTCTATTCTAATTTAATTTTTAATTAAATAAACAATGATGACTTTAAATATAATAGTTAGAACTAACTAATAAATCTATTTTCGTAATCATAAAAAGGAATATGAAGAAATATGCCTCTTGTAATGGAAACTTTCCAGTAAAATTATAACAAACTTGGCAAAGAAGCCAACTAACTACTTTATAATGTATTGAATCTTTTTTTTTCATATGTACAGTACATCTAGAAGTGTTGCAATGTGTGCAATTTTCATCATAATGTTGATGATGCATAGTATATTGGTAATGTTGGCAATATTTCTTTAACTTCTTTATGTTCAATAATAATTACTAACAACATAGTAGCTTGTTTTTCTTTCATGAAATTTATATGTATTCAATATATTATTTTTGTCAATACAAGCATGTTTTTGTTTTATTGAAAAACTTGAGCATCTAAAAGAAATTCATTACAATTAGTAACAATTTTTTTCTTTTTTCAAACACTTGGCTTTATTTGACTGGCAATGAAACCACCTGCAAAGAAACTGGCTTCATTACCAGTTTGATCATAACATTGTTGAGAAACTATGCACACTTTTTTACATTTTATCTTTGTTCCTATAATAGATTACATTTTTATTTTGTGCTTGATGTTCCTTTTGTTTCATTACATGCAAATTTCTTATTAACTTCAATAAGTGTTAATTTAGATTTTCTAAAGTTCAATATTTACAAAAAAATCTATTATAATTTTTGTTTACTTAACATTTCCTACATTCACATAAAAACTATGATTAATTTATGCAAATTTTCTTTTGTACAAATTAATACATAATTTTCTTTAAGTAATATAGCACATGAAAATTCTAAATACATTTTTACATGGATAATCATATACATGTGAAGTGTGTAAGCAAGCAAGCATCTACATGTACAGGCTGTCAAAAATTTCCAAATACTATCATCTCTGCTATATATAACAACACTGATCTTTGTAGACATCTTTCCTGCATTACACATTGGACGTGCAGGTCAGTTAGTGGAGCAACTTTTTTTTTATGGTTACTTTTTAATCAAAATTTGTTTCTTTGGGTTTATTTTTCCCCCCACAAACAACTTTTCCATTGACACTGCACACTGTTAAAACTATGATAAAATTTAATATCTACTGCCTGCAAAATGTAATGATAGATTCTCTAGAAAAAAAATATATGTATATTTAGTATTTGTTAAAGAATTTATACATACATAATGCTTCATACATACCTAAACCTTCTTCTTGTGTCAGATAGCATGCAGTGGCAATATTTGGAAGAAAAATTGCATTTGATGTCTCTTCTTTCCAACTTACACAAAATATTCTACTGAGAGCATTGTGAACTTGTTCTTCAGTTAAATCACAATTGGTGCTGCAATCCTGTAAAAAATTTAATTCTGTTTATATATTTTCCCCCTTTCTTGAATTATTAAAACTGAAAAAAATATTAGCATAAATAATCTCAAAATACAATAGTAGTAATAATAAACATTAAATGGAGTGTAATTTATAAAAAGAAATATATTTTAACTTAAAATATTAGAATTTTTAAATACATTAAGTTTAAAAATTATATAAATTTTTAAAGTAAAAAATTATACATAATCAATAAGAATGTTATTTTAATCAGTTTAAATAAATTCATTCTTCTTCCTTACAAAGTTATGAAATTTTTTCCTTAAAATTACAAAAGCCAAGGACATCACACAGTTCTCTTGGCAAGTATATGCAAAAATAGTATTGAGTCATTATCAAATCTATAAAGATTTTTTAACAATATTTATTGAGAAAACTAAGATATAAATAACANTAAGGACTTATTGAACGACCCTCGTAGTATAGATTTACCGAACATTTTGTGTTAGTTGTGTTTCCGGTTATCCAAAGTAGTCTAAATCCCCATTTCCTTGAACACTCAGAACTCTACTATAGTAATAAATAAATTAATTGATACTTAAATATTAAAATAATACTTAAGAATATAAAGTAGCACGAGTAGTTTTGTATTTTTAGTTTAAACTGAATGTTCAGCATTATTGAGTATTCAGCTATATTCAAAGTAAATATATATTATTTGAACCAAATACTTCCTCAAAGCCAAATTATTGGGCTGAATAATCTCATTTTAGTTGGGAAGAGGGATGAGAGAAGAAAGGAGAAAAAATAACATACAAAATAAAACGAAAAGAACATTTAAAAACTCCTCAGATATTTTAAAATATTGTTATTTATTCCTTTCCAAAACAAATATAACTTAATAAATAATATTTGCTCAAAATCATTTATTTAATAATCACATTTCAAGAGTGATAAATTGTAATAAAGGAACAGTAATGCTTCTGCATTCATAGGAAGTAAGCAATTTTGTCGGTCATCAAAAATACATCCAGCTTCACTGAACATTCACTTATTACACACACTACTGCAGGGCTGCAAAAAACAGACCTCAATGGCAATATTTTATTTTAAAAATTATTGTGTGATGAAAAGTAAAAAATTAAAATGTATATAATCTTTATTATTGAACAGACAAACTGTTTTTCACCTTACTCTAAGCCAGTGATTCCTAGAGAGGACACTACAACTTCTTTGATAGCAGAAGACTTAAGAGGATGCTGGAAAGCAAGGGGCATTGAGTGGTATTGGAAAGACAGGAAAATAATAATTTATTTTAAAACAAAAGGTTAAAATAATAAAGGTTAAAAAAAAGTTAAAACATGTTAAAATAAAAGTTTTTGTTCAAAGACCATGTCAAAACTGTAAAGTCAGTTTTTGAGACATAAGACTTTATATATAGATTGCAAAAAGCACTTCTCTTCATAAATGTAGTGGTAAATCATTTCTTCACAAATGTAATATAAAATAATATTAAAATTTAATCTTCAGTGTATTATTTTTGACTGATTTTATGGGGTACTAATAAAATATATGCACTAAAAGGGACAGTGGTTCAAAAAACTTTGGAAAACACTGCTCTAAGCATTTTGTTTCATGCAGTTCCAAATATAGTAAATCAGCTGATATTAAGTATTTGGTAGTGAGGAAAAAGCAAGAATATTCAGCTTTCAGTATTGATTGATAGGTAACATCCAAATAATTATTTGGTATCAGAGCAAAACACCTATTCTGTCCACCTCCAACAATTATAATAGTATTTGTGATTAATCAATGTTAGACTAGCTTCTTATTAATTATTTTAAATAGAATTTAAATGATTAATTATTTGTTTAATAATCAATCTAACAGCCAGCCAATACAGTCAGATTTTTATCAAGCTAAATAAAGCTAAGTAATAATACGATATTAAGTAATTTGGTTAAAGATAGGCAGTTATGCCATCATCTTTTGTTAAATTTAATAACTTGGATGTAAATAAATTAGAATATTCTGGAAATAAAGATCCAAAGTGAGATTCAAATTCACAACTTTTGCTTTATTTAAGATGAATAAATTTAACAAGCAATGGCAGCTTAACCATCTACCTCTAGCTAAATTACTTAATATCTTATTAACTTTACTATAACCCCAAAAAATCAAGCTGTATTGTTTGATTAATAACATTTATTGGGTTGATTATTTATATAATATCATTGTATATACAATTATGTTTAAGATAATTTAACAAAAATATGTTTAAAAAACTTAACATACTGGGATCCCATTAATTAAGAGATGCAAATTTCAATTTTAATCTCACGGTAAGAATTATTTTATGATGGGGAAATTTTTAAACAATCAATGTTATAAATTTTGTTAAATAATAACAAGTTAACAATAATACAAATACATGGTAATGTTGGCTACTCTATTTCCATGCTCTTTTCCATATACAATAACTAATTTGTTTTAATGCTGCATCATGTTATCTTGAAGGCATTTTAAATATTAAAAAAAAAGGAGCTTAAATTAAATGCTCATTACTAGCATAGCTTGTTTGAACTGACTTATGTTGGGCAGTACAGCCATAAAAATCCCTATTAGTGATGCATAACATCATATGTCTACTGATTTTTTTGAACTGATTCACAGTAACAATCAGTAGTCATCAATTCTGATTATTATTTTAACTTGTGAATATGGCCTACTGATATTTTGGACTGAGGATGTAAGATTCCATAAATTCTAAAATGCATCTCTATTATAGGCAAGTAAAAATGAGTTAAATAAGTGCATCCTAGAATCAGGAACCTAGAATACAATATAATACAGTAGTACTCATTTTTATTCCTATCAATGCTTAGTAATACTAAAACAACTTTGCAATAAGTATTCATCAAATCAATAAAAAAAAAATCTTCAAAAATTTCATATTTGTGTTGAAAAAAGTTAATGAAATAATAAGAATATGAAAATTATGTAATATTTCTTATGTATATTTCCTTATACAAAATAAGAATTTTAGTCAAATTTAATCAATTAAATGTATCTGTCATTTGAGATTTTTTTTATGTAGAAGAAATTTTCCAGAGTTTAAAATTATTTAGGTATAATATAAATAAATGTAAAGATGTAATTAAAAATTCCAAAAACAATTAAAATATAAAAAGTTTACATTAAAAAATCTTTTATATTAGAAATAATTTAGTTTTATAACATTTTGAGAATCAAAATATTCCATTGCTGACATATAAACATAAAACTGCTTGAACATTCAAAATACAAATCTAAATATATATATATGCAAATTTCCATTGTTTCAAAATATTCTCTTTACTTGTTTCAAGAAAAAACTTATTAAAAAACAATTGCAATCTATAAATATAGAAAGTTTGGCAGCTATAAGATGAAGTCTAATTTGGCATTGTAAAAGTCTATTATTCTGATAGATCAGCAAAACATTTTTTTCTGAATAAAATTTAAAGTATTTATTATAATGAGGAATTTCAAAAGAATTTTTATTATCATAACCTTTGGATAAATATTCAGATGAAATAATTATTGAACTCAATTTAATAAATTATACAAAAAAAAACTAACTTGCACAACATGAATATATGCATATCCTTGTAAGAGGCACTATGATTTGCATATGTAATAAAATTTATTCAGACAATTATAATAATAACTGAATAATTAATTTATGCACTTCAAAATTCAGTTGCATCTAATTGCCATTTAAATTAATATAATTTAAGAAATTATATTCATTTAAATTTATAAAATTTAAAAATAGCATGAAGAAAGAATGCATTTTAATTAGAAAGCACCAAATATTTTAAAAAAGTAGCTTTTCAATTTAAACTAAAACAACAATAAATTAGCTACTGACAAAAATACAATTCAATATTCAATTTAATTGAAATGATATTAATTTCATGAGCCCCTTCATGTAGTTTGAATGCATTAGATGTTCACAAATCAAATTCAAAATTTAAAAATCAATCAAATGAGTTCATTGTAAGTATCAAAAATCTCAACTTTTACATTATATTCTGGTTTATATATTTTGTATTTTACCACTTTACAGTCTTAGGTTATTTAATTTTGTTTAGTTTTTATTTAATAAAATCTATTAAATAAAATTTCTTTGATATTAAAATAGTTTATGATCTAAAATGATATTAAGAAAGGTCATTAAAGAACCATGCCATTTAAATAAATCATAGTATCTAATGTATATTTATATTTTGTGTTAATGTATATAAAAACATTTTATGATAACATTCAGTTACATGGACATGACTTCTTTTTAATAACCTTTCTTAACCATACATATGTATATAAATCTAATTGTATTTATTTATTAAATTATTTTTTACTAACTCTTTGTCTTTTTCCACTGTCTTTTCTTTCTAATTCATCTACTTCCATATTCTCTATACCAGAGTCTACATCTACTTGTGATAATGAGCTAATAAAAAAATATTTAAGTGAATTATCACTATATATAATAACTAATAGTGATTTATATATTTTTTCAGATTATTTTAAAATGCAATGTAAAGAAATATCCGTTAAGTTTATAAAATTTTAAAACATTTTATAGACTCAACAGTCATAAAATTTAATATTTTAAAATTAAAACTTAGATTTTAAAAAATCTAATATTTTATGAATAAATAAAGTAGCTTTATCAAAATATTTCAAAGTTTCATTGTTAAAAAATTTCAGCTAATTTAAAAAATTTAAATTTAATCAAGATGTGTAAATCAAATAAAAAAGTAATTGTTTTAAGCATTAAAATTCTGGAATCCTTATTGATCTAAATATCATTAAAATTTCACAATATTTCAGTCTATTTTACTCTTGGGAGGAGGAAGCAAAAACCAATGAATCATTAATGACAAAAGAATTTTTCCAATAAATAAAACTTCATTTACTTCATCATATCAAAATATTTAGTAAAATTAACAAAGAGATATCTTAACAGATTAATTAAAGAGATACAGTTCAATCTTTTAAACTAATTTTATAAATTAAAGAATACAAAATATTTCATAAAATTTTAGAGTAAAATAGATCAATGAATAATTTATATCATAATAATGCATTTTAAATAAATAATTTATTAATAACAAATAATATTTATATACATATTAGAGAATCTGATAACACTACAAAAGATTATGATATCATTTTCTATAATATTTACAGTTTTTCAAAAATGTTAATTTTTTTCAATGACTATTTGTTAAACATCAAATTTAAAAAGTATTGTTTATATATATCATTTGTAATTTTTTTTTTTTATTATACACCTTACTATATAGAATTTTTAGAGAAGCATTTCATTTAAATAATAAAGAAATACTATAATACTCTTCTTGTCTAGGTGTAATTAAGTCTAGCTACAGTAAGCCATTATTAAGCTTATAGTTAATATAAAAAAAAACCATCCAATTCTTTATCTTTTATTTTCCTTTATCTGTTGCCACAAAAAAAAACATTTTATGTCATCAACTCTTCATCAATTCAATATAAACATTTTTTAAATTTTTCTTGTATTCACTTAAAAATATTACTGACAAGTTAATTAAATAAAGAATTGAGTGTATTTTTTATGTATATATATATAATTCTTAATAAAAAAAGTTGTAAATCATAGTTGAATATAAAACGTTAACTGTTAAATAATATATAGTTATAAAAAATATATACCTTAATTTTACACTAATGTTTTCCAATTAGTGTCATGCTTTTTTTTTTAATTTTATACTGTATCTCAAATAAAATAAATTTTGATTTTATTACATTTATTACACTATTATATTAATATTAAAAATGTTATAAAATTATTATATATATAATGAAAATTTTCTGAAAAACAATTTATTAATGATATATATATATATGTTCTAATGCATAATCAGTATCATTTTAATATAATAAATAGATTTATTCTTTTAAGAAAATAAAATAAATATTAAATTCTATTAAAAATAAATTATAACATAAAAACAATGTTAAATTACCTTTTTTCACATGAATCATTATCAGTATCCATTGTCTGAACATCAACACCTTGTGATTCTATTGATGAATGCTTTTGATATTGTCCAACTGAAAAATCATATAAACAAATTCTGATAATTGATAATTACCACAGATTTATATATTTTACATATTAAATAATTAGTTCTTCCTGATTACTAATTAACTATTAAAACATGTCATTATATAAATGAATTTATATTTAAAGAAAGTAAAGTAAAGTATTTTAAATAAATAATGCATTAAATAAATAGTAAAATCAATGAAGATAAATATAGAAAACACTATTTCCACTAAATTAGTTAGAATGTATTTATACTTAGAATGATCAAACTGGTGAAATATTGATTAACTTTTACTTTTCTATAAAAATGAAAAAACTTTTGAAATTTTTAAAAGAATTGTTTGTAAAAGATACAAATAAAACAATATCAAATAGTATATTTAATCATTCTTAAAACTTTACATAAATCTAATATTTCTTTTATTAAATCAATTAGCAGCATATAAAATTATAAGCAGTCTAAATAATCTTTTAAAAACAAGTTAAGAATTATATAAATTATCATCAAATTCAACATTTTCTGAAACTTCAATAATCTCTAATCTTGACTGAAATTCATATGCCAATAATATTTAAAAGCCATTTAAAATTGAAACAAATGCAATAAATAAAAAAATCTGCAATAAAATGAGTACGAACAGTATATAAAATGATTTAATATATGTTCATAAATTACAAAACATAAAAATATTGGAAAATACATAATAATTATAAATTACTGAATCAGTAAAAATGATAAACCACAGAAGATTGTAAAATAATTAGACAGTTAAGAGAACACTAAGATTGGAGCATATTATGCTAGATAAACTTGATGCTAGATAAACTTGCACATATTGCACCTATGTGCTAATATTTCCTTGCACTATTTATTCAGGGTAACCCAAGTATGGTAGAATGAATATTTGAAATTAATATATTTTTTATGAAAAATGATTTTTATTTATATACCAATAATGTAATTATAGAAAAAACTAAATAATTTGTTAATCAAGATTCCTTTTTGTTGAAAACTTGATCTGTTTAATAAAATTATTGGTTGGGTTCAATCCCTTTGGCTACTAATGACCAGCCACCCAATATATATTAAAATTTTAAATTATATTACTATATTCACAACAAAGGTTTTGATTATAAAAATAGATTAATAGTAATATTAAAATATTTCTTACCCCCAGGTATATTAATATCCTGACAGTCTACAGATCTATTAGCACTTCCTTCAAAATCACACCATTCTGAACTTGCATTTTCTTCTGAACTTTGATTCAATTTTTGATCTTCTTTTAAAGAAGGCACACTACTATATGATAATGTAGAATTGGATGTAGAATTGTCTGATGTAGATGCACCAGTTGAAACAGAAGGAGTTGATCTAGCAACAGTAGCTGAAAGAGGAGAGTTTAAACTATCTCCTATAGAAGGACTATTTTGACTGGAGTTTGTGGTATCACCAGAAGCTGAATTTAAGCAGCCTAATCTTGCTAGACGTTTCTTACGAAGCTATTAAAAAAATAATAATGTACAAAAATGAATAATATAAAATTATAATGATCTCTCAAATATTTTATTATGCGTAACTAAAAAATTTTAATTACAAATTCCCTAAAATAATATATTTTTAAATTTTAAATTATTTATTTAACTAAGAAAAATAAACAAAGTTCAGAAGTTTATTCTGAAAACTCACAAATAATAAAATATATCAAAAAGTTCACTTTCATTGTTTTTTTTAAATATATTGAACAGTTATAAAATTCTTTATCATAATTTTTCTTTCTCTATTCCTCTTCATGTTGTGCATGACCAAGCTTTGTCATCAATTCAGTACAAATTTACCTTAATTATTTTTGTTAAAATGTTTCATAATACAAAAAATAAAATAAAATCTTTTCAAAAACTTACAATATTCTTATATTTGAAAATCTTATTTTTTCATACTGTCTCTAAATGTATTTTTAATCATAAATCAAGCATTTCAAAACTTTTTTTTTATCATGACCTATATTTTCAATAGAATGTAAAATGATTAAACCATGCACAATGCACAAAACGTAAAGCTTGACACAGTTAAATTTAAAGGTTTTTTTTAAAATTTAATTTATCTTAAATACATCTAATCTCAAAATAAAAATAAAGAATTAATCATATATGATTGCTTGACCTAATTTTAAAGATTTATGTCAGGATTCTGTTAATAGTTTGACAATTTTTTTTTAATCAAAATTATCAATATTCCTTCAATTTATTATATTAAAATTAAATGTAAATAAAAAGATGATAATAGTTAGTTAAATTTTTCACATAAACTAATATTCACATCAATTATTATCTTTTAAACTTTTTCACTTTATTTATTTAATCGACAAAAAGAGCATCACATAAAAATCTTATAAATGATTTAGTAATCCTATTAAATATTTAAGTCAAAGTTTTATATAACATCTAGCTCCGATATGAAAATACAGACGAGTGAAAATCTTCTATCTAAATCTTTAATTATATAGCTATCTAAATTTTTATGGAGTTCTTCCTTATGTTTCTTTATATCAGATAAAATTTTTACATTAAATTTTTTAAAAAATTTATATTTTCTCTCATTTACTTAATAGAAATATAAACTTCAAAAAATTAAATATATGTAAATAAACATCTTATATGTAAACATGTAAATAATAATGACTAAAGACAAATTTATATTTTATTTAATAAATTATTTATTACTAATATACTGAAACTGTATCTTCTTAAAATGTTTTTTAAAACAAGTGTTTCATAAAATTTCAGTCATTATTACAGTTTTTGTAATAATTTATAATTGACAATATTTGATTCTTACATTAATTAGTAAATTAACAGAATCATCAATTATTATTTTCATACTATATAACTATATATTGAATTATAAAAGTACATTTATTACATATTTATCTAAACTGCAGAAAAGTGAACAACAACAATGCAGAATGTGTTTGATGATTCATGTTCATATTTTAAACTGACTGTAAAGTCTATTTCACACAATTATCTTGAAAATTTACATGATGAAATTATTATGATGAAAATTTTTTCTTAAATTCATTCTGGATTATTTATCTAATCATTATATTTTATTGACATCTGCACTACACCTTTACTGTAAAATGGTTAAAAGCAATAAGTATAATCATGGAAGCATCAAGAATGCAGATGAAATGCATATTATCTCAAAACTGTAAAAATTCATAATAGCAATCATAAAACCAATGCAAAATTTTTAAGTTTTAGTATCTAAATTTTTTCATATGTTCTAGTGACTTTTACATTTTTTCATTTAAAAACTGGTCTTCCTAATATTTATTATATAAGTATTACATAAATCATATCTTCCAATAAAATTTAAAAGATTTATTTATTCTTTGTCTACTTTAGATTATACAGTATATTATTATTTTTTAATTTTTTTAAAATAAAAGAATCCTTTTCAATTTATTAAAAAAAAATTATCTAATATTGTTTTAAATTTTATAATAATTGGAAACAATTTCACTGAATCTTTTAAATTATTATATATAAACAGAATTGTAAATATCTGATAAAATATTATTATACAATTACAATAGAGAAAAATTTGAATATAAACAACATGATATTTATTTATTTAAAATATATTCCATGAAGTATTTTAAAGAAAAGTCTGATATATTGATACTCAACCAAACAATCAATGTAATTAATTGGGCTATAAATATGCTATTATTAATGATTACACATTAAGAAATTTGATATTATTCTTAATATCTAATCATTAATAATAGTATATTTATAGCCTGATTAATTAAGGCAATAATTTGGATGAGTGATTATTTAAAAATTACAAGTATTGGGAAGAGTGGAGGAAATTATGTATAAATAAAATTCTAGTAATCTCTAATCTCAAATCCTCTCTTTATTGAATCCCTCCTTAAGTCAAACTGGGTTGTCAGTCCCCAGCAAAAAATAATTATTTTTTTTATACTTCTAAATTCAAACAAGATTTCAGTATTTTAACATTGTTCTCCTGAAGTCAAACTAATAAAACTCAACAGGTGCCAACCAACCTATTGAGTTCTAGATATTCCTGGTTAAGCAAGCAAATAACAAATTTTCCAATTTAGTAGAAAATCAAAATCTAGCATTCCTGTAGAATGGTCAAGTAGCTTAAAAGTTAAGTTCTCTGCCTGACAAATATGTTAGCAATGTTTTGTCACAGCAGTTGCAAAAGACACTGCAGTAGCTAAAGTTTATTTTAGTATTTTGTTTTTTAAATTTTCATTGGCAAATCCTATTTTCTCCTTATTTATAATTTACTTACAGTAGTTCTTCATATATGGCAGCCATCTTGAATTTTGTCTTTGTTGCTTTATGAACTCAGTCTTTTCTATTAATAAAGATCTATTTGCAAACCATCTAAAATTTTTTAATAGATGATTTATGTAACGTATTATGCATAACTTGATAACTTCAGTAAAGAATAGAGAGGTAATTTTTTGATATATCTAAATTCATATTTATTTAGGAAAATTATTACATCCTCTTATTTATTTGAATCATTATTAGAACAATATATCATTGACTTAAATATATATTGAGAATTACATCCCTTAATCCTACTGTTTTGTACTTTATACTTGAATAAAAAATTTTCCATTTTTTTTATACCTCTGTATATAGAACTCTCCATAAACCATTTTTTTTTGGTTCCTTCAAATTCAAGGATTAGGCCCTGTACACACTAGGCATTTTTCAACGCGCGTTAAACGCGCGCTTTAAAGAACCAAGCGTTCTATGTAGCCGCACACACTCAAACGCAAGCACGCGTTAAACGCGCATTTATAGATTTTTGTTAAAATGCGCGTTTTGCGGGCACTTTACGGGCGCTTTGAGATATACGTGCTGCCTTATAGCGACGATGGAGGAGCACACACAATCAATTACTTTCTCGTCCATTTCCAAACTGAGCCAGTGCTAAACGCCGAACTAACACTCGTCGAACGCCGAGCTAACGCGCGTTAGCTTGGCATTAAACGCGCGTTGAAAAACGCCTAGTGTGTACAGGGCCTTAGAGATTTTACTGTATTAATATAATGCATCAATACTACTGATAGACGTAAAATGTACACAGCAGCAGTTTCCAACTTATTTTAATTGCAAAACCCTTTTTACTTCAATAAAAAGTTGTAAACCAACAATTTTGTCACAGGTTCTGATAGGAGCTCAACTAATGAGATAATCAAATGCATTGGATTTCATTTGTGAATCATTAAGCAAATACTCAAGTATTTAAATATTGTAGAAATATATATAAAAATAATGTTTTTACAAAGATGAATACTTTGCTTCCATTTCTCTTCTGGAGTCAACAACAGAAGAAAAACAGAAGCAAAGTACAGTAGAGCCTCGATTATCCGGACCTTTATTATCCGGATTGTTCAAAATAAACAAAAATTTTACGAATTTGCTGATTTGCACTTGGCGAATTACGATACTGTTTATGTACGTGATGGAATGCATAACTTTTTTTTGCTTCAACAACGTCTCACCCAGCACAGTAGCCGTAAACTCTTAAATATATTTTGCGTCGTAATAAAAATATAACTTGACATACGTATTTATAAATAATTTATTTTCAAATTACATCATTTCTATGGCCAAGGGTGGCGTAAGGCATGGGCAATGTGGGTCAACGCCTATGCCTCGCGTTTCGAAAGTTTATGCATTACTTAAAAGCCGCAAACATGACGAAAAAATTTTACTCGTCATAAAACAATAAATAGTTTGTCAAATTTTTATTCATAAAAATGCAGTTTCAACTACTTTTTATTTTATAAAATCCGTCTTCTTGCACTACCAGACGGCCTTTTAAACAATAGGTAGTCTGTTAGCGTTGGTCAGTAGTAGTCCAAATTCAATACGAACGTTTGTTTCTTGAAAATTTGATCACGGTTTAAATAAATACAGTATTTACTTTTAATATTACTGATATGTCATCGAAAAGAAAATGTGTTGTATTATCGTTAAAAGACAAAGTATTTGTTTCGATTATCCGGATTTTTCCTTATCCGGACTATCTTCATCCCCAATTAGTCCGGATAATCAAGGTTCTACTGTATTTATCTTTGTAAAAACATTGTATTTTTATATTTATTTCTACAATTAAATGTAAAACTGTCAGCCATGTTTTTTACTCGTTTTTTTTTTTTTTAAATATTGTTTCTCCCTGCAACAATTTCTCCAATAGAAATGAGTACTTGTTTTAGTTTTCAAATACATGATTCAATTCTTTCATCATTTGGCTCAATTGATCCTATTTTACACAAATGTAAACTATGCAGTCTGTGCATAGGTCTTTTATTCCTATGTAATATTAATAATTTTTGAAACTTTATTTAAATAAATTTTTCACAAACATTTAAAACTATTAATTAAAGCTCAGAAACTAATTTTTTTTTGCAGAACCAAATTTTATCAGTAGAACCCTATGG